CCTCCGTGATCAAAGGAATTATTCATCAGGCCGAGCGCGTTTCATAATTCCACGAATTTCGCGGGCTGTCAGTTTGCAGAGTTTTGAAAGTGGACGAGCACTCTCTCTCGTATTAAGCCTTCTGAGCGTGTCACACACGGACGCGTTCGTGACTCTTCGACTCAAGCCTGCCTGCCGGCGGCCTGTCGACCCGACTGCCTGCCTGCCTGCCTGAGTGAGTGAGTGACGATACTATCAACAACGCTTGGACCTCCGGTTGCAGCAAGTGTCAAAATCGGGATCGCCGCGGGCTATTTGGCCAAGGAAATCCGATGAAAGCCGCCACGATGCGACTCGAACTGGAACAGCGCTCTCCATTCGTTCAGCTTGTATCAGAAGGGAATTGAAACATCGCGGCCTGTTTGATCGAGGCCGAGAGGGTCGCGGAGGCGTGCCGTCGTTCGTTCATCGATCCGGCAATGTCTCTCCCCTCGCGCGTTGGGAGATTTCATCCGAGCCTTGAGGATTTGGTATATTTTCGTGCAGAGAGTGCCGTCGCCTCGTCCTCGCCCTCGAGGAGAAGGAGTATACTGTTTTCGAGGTTGTTCTGTGGGAACCAAATATCTGTCACCGGGAGGAATTCGTTCTCATTTTCGGCGTGCGCAGAAAGACGAGGAACGAATGAAACAGACAGAAAAGCCACGACCGGTTACATGAACGCCCCATCTGTTAATGTCCCGCTGTTTTTGCGAATTCGCTTTGTTCACCGATACGAACTCGAACTCCCCCACGTGGCCGAGCTCACCTCTGGTTCGTCTCTGAGGCTAACACCAATATTCTCCGTTATTGCACAATATTAAGATTGTTCGAGGTGCGATTGTCGCGGAGCAAAGGTGGGTACCTCAGAGACCTCTCTCGAATCGCCATTGATTCTTCGCTTCTTTCGCATCGTTCCAAACGGGGTTGAAACCTCATCCCGCAGCGTCCTATCGGCGCGTCGGAAGCGTCGCATACCTTCTGATTCGGGTTGACTCGGGTAGTCCTAGCCGAAGTCGAGATTCGATCGTTGAAAGGCCTCCTGCTCCGACCGGGTCTGTGGAAAGTCTGAATGCCGTGCCTCACTTCGCCTCAGGAGGCTTCGAGTCGAGTATGTTGGATAGCTGGTCATAAGATTATTGCGACCTTGTTGTTCCGAACGCTCCGATACGCGCGCGCAACGTAGGTAGATGAATTCGGCCGAAAGAGTACAGTCGGCTCCGCAGCTGTACGTCGACGGCGACCCCGGACCGGCCTCCATTTGGTGTACCCGAGTCAAGAGCTTTGAATGCAGATACGTGACTCCGATTACAAATGGTCCGTCGGATTTCTCGGAGCTTTCTTCTCGGTGGTGATTCTCCTATATATTCATCGACGTCACCACTCCCGGATCGCTATGCCGCCCCGTCGGCGTGACCAAGTCCAATAGGGAGGTTCCGATAGGTGGTTGACGAGATACTATTTCGATCGTATATGCCGATGAACCCATGCGGCTGTTACGCTGAGTTCGTACATCGCAGAAAGCTGCGGGCTGTCGTCTTTTGGTAATCCGGATCCGACAGGAGATCCAATCGCGAAGAGAACTGCAAGCAACTTCATCTACCGATTCCCCTTAAATTCTCCTCTCCGATTATTTGGTTCCACGTCTTAGCTTCTCGCGCTGGGGAGGCGGAATCGTTGCGGTCCGAGCTCTGCTTCTCTCAGGGAAGAACCATGATTCCACAACCCTGATGGCAAGGGAACAAGCGGCGACCGTGAAGTTGCAAGGTCTAATCAAGAGGCTCTCCAATTCAATCCGAGACGAGGATTTGCTGTGAGACGGAGGGTCTGTGTCGTCGGAAATTTCGTTCATTCCAGCACCTTTGCGTTTTACTCTGTGGCTTTGGCGTCCAAGGGCAAAAAACACCCGCTGTAGAACACGTTCGGAATCTTGTTTCCATCAGGAGGATTTTGGTTGCTCGTACATGGGTTTCATAATAGAATCAGAGCAATGCTCGGAAGCTCGCTCCGTGTGGCCCAGCCAAGCGTGGTCCGCCAAGCAGCTCCCACCGTTTTCATCGTTTTCGGAGCAGCTTTTGAAATTCCGGAAAATCCGCCCTCTATTGAGCAACCTTAATTCAAATCCTACACGTTCGATTGCCATCGGAAGCCGAGATGGTTGCGGTTCCGAGCTGCGGTTCTCTATCTTATAACCGTGATTCGGTCGAACATCCTCACGGAGACCCTTCGTTAGAAATTCGATCATATCCAAGTAGTTGGAAGGGTACATCCGTGGATCTTCTGCCTTTTGCCGTCGTCGCTCGCTCAGCTTATCGAGTTCATCTGGGCATCGGAAGAAAGCAAGAAAAGTTATCTTGTCAGAGTTCCTATTTTGGGTCTCGCTCCGAGTCGGAACTCGAGCACCGAGAATTTTTCGTCTTATGACGAGCGGTTCCCGATTCAATCTTTCCCGTTGCTCATGTTTCCTACGGATCACGGCTTCCCCGTTTGCCCTTCTCTATCCCTCGCATCACTCCTCAGAGAAATATTCTAATCAGATAATTTTCAGAAATCTCGAGTATTGTTCTTCTGCTGCCGGTCTTCGCCTCCCCGCTAAAGGCTGAATAATTCCCAGCGATCCATTGTTTCTTGTCGGAACTTCTAGCTCCACGTTCTTTTCTCGTGCGCAGACATCCGTGCTTCCTCCACACAGTCGTCCCTCTCCGATGGCTGTCTCGTCGCACGATTCCTCCTTCCTCCCAAGCCCTCTCCGCTCATATCAATGTATCAATAGCGGGCGTTAATTCTCGAGAGCACGATCATTTTTAGAAAGCTGAGGCCCCGGAACAGGTTTTTTTTCCTCTTCCATGGGGAACATTCGTGTGTCACTTGCCATGTTCCCATCATTAGACCGCGATCCCGAGTACGTGTGCTCCCAAGCAAGGAAAGGAAACGGAGCAGTCAGGAATCGACAAGGCCAGGCACTGAGACCAGGGGCCAAAATAACGGTGAGGGGTGCGGCGATGGCGATGGAGGGGAAAACCGCGGTGGCAGAAGCGAGGATCCGCGGGAGGGACGGGCGGAGCGATGTTTGCTCGGAGCCACGTGTTGGAGGAACGGGCTCGCGCGTTTCGCGGAAGCGACGTCCATTATTTTGATGAGAGCAGGCCTTTGGTACAAGACTCACTCTGTGCCTAATTGAGGAGTTGATTTTTCTTCGCTCGGCGTTGTCACTTTTTCTTCAATGAACGCCGCTCCTCTGCGTCACGCTGATTATTGTCAGCCGCTACCCACGCACCTCTCTCAAGTGCTTCATGAGTATTCTCTTGTCCGTTAGTACTCTCGTTCCGTCTTTCTCGTTCGTCGGGTTCGTTCCGGCCGGGAGTCGCGTTCGTTTCTGCGATGCGTCTCCCGCAACCATCTGAGACGGGCGAGGCATCGGGCTCGTGACCTCCATCCCAATATCGGTCATCAGAACCCAAGCACCTCCAGCATGGCTCTGCAGCCGCAAATTCTTACACGAATTGCAGCGATGGCCTTCGGCTCCAGGAATGCTCGGGCAGGGACTGCTTGAGTTTTGCGGGCAACGGCAAGAGCCCAGAAATTATACCGCGCGTCTTCGATCCTCCTACCTATGCTAAAAATCTCGGGCTGAGGGAAATCTCCCCGCCCCCTAGCCGCTCCTTGCAAACGCTTCTGGCTTAGGACTCGTCGATCAGCCCGAGTCCCTGTTCCCTTTTGCATACCATATAGACAATTCTGGCGCCGCAATCGATTTGCCGCCGTGGAGGACCGAGAATTCCGGAAACGTAGACCCAGCCAGGAGGTGAGATCCGTTTCCAGCTGACCGAGCAGCTTTTAGCGTTTGACTTCCAGGATCGGCGCTTCCATCGGGGCGACAGCGCCCCAGGAAGAGGTTCCGGACTTCAGTCATTGGTGCTCGGAGACTGGCGTTGATCTCGAGCCGGCGATATAGTCGCATGTATGCATCCCGTCATCCCGACCAGACGAAGCGGGGAGATCGCGCATGATAATAAGCTGCACGTCACGCTATATCGTACACATGACGGGATATCTCTATTGTATGCTTTGAATCGATCTCAACGCTTCGACTTCGTTCGGTGCTGAGGAATCTTAAACTCCCTCCATGCTCGGAATTCCCTAGGAGAGGGGTTCCTGGAATCGGGGCGACTCGAGTCAGAGGGGTTGAAATGAAAGTCTTGGAAAACCTGAATGTAAAGACACAGATTGAATGCGGAAAGAGTCGAGGATGATATTCCTAGGTCCATCGGATTGTTCTGATCGAAAGCATGACGTCCTGTTCTCATGGAAAGCATGGCGTCCTGTTCCCTGAGCTGGTGTCACCCAGACTCGACGCACGGAAGAACTGTCTGCGTATGAGATGCGGTCATCTACGAACAACGACGAAGTCCCGCCGCCTCTTAGCGTTCCGAGGCTTACGTATGTAGGGCCGGTCGAGGGAATGCTCAGCAAGTCGACATCGGACACCGGGGTCTCATGCAAGTTTCTCTCGAATGGGTCCCATTGGAAGTTTGGAGCTTTAGATGTGAAATAATTAGAATTTTCGGACTGTTTTACTCAAATGAAGCCTAATCCCGTTCCGAGAGAGGTTCAGCGAGAAACGAAATCTCGATTCCCACGCAAGGGCTCAGAACCTGAAATTTCGCTCGGTCTTCCGAAAAAAATAAGATATTTGTGTTTAAAGCCTATACAATCGAGGGAGCTGACGGCGTTCGACGGAAAATCAACAAGAAGAATGTTTTCAACGAGATTCGAGCGGCAAACGCAAGGTTTGTGCTAGATAGATCCTCGTTCATCCAACAATGTTCATGATTCTGTGCAGGCGAGGAGTAAGTGCAACTTGTGGACCGACGGCAGGAGAATTCAAAAAGTTTCGATCTCGAGGTTTCTCCCGTCGCGAGCTCTCGGTTTCCATCGTGGCGCCGGAGTTCGCTCCGTAGAGAAAACTTATCCGATCTTTCAGGATGGTCGCGACGTCGGAATACCTTATCCAGTCCTTCATCTTAAGCGAGCGGAAGGTGAAATTGAGCCGCACACCGCGAGAACACTTCGTTATGGAGCAAACATGTAGGACCGCCTATGAGTTGTATTGCCGGATGATCCGGAATCGATTGGGTTGCGACGATGTTCGAGAAGACCTGGAGAATTTGACATACCTCTTCGAATACCTGTTCAGAGACTCACCGAAAGCCGCCGCGGTTCGCCCCTGATCTCGTGCAACACCTTTCATAAAGAACTATTCCCGGGACGATCGGTGTCGCATGATAATTTTCGCATTGCAGTACCTCGCGAACCTGCTTCGCAGCTTGATCTTGATTTTGGAAGATTTGACCACGAGACTCGAGGAAGCATCCTGGCTGAAACCGACGATGTGGAACGAGGTCCGAACCTATTTCGACTATCACGAATCTCATTTAGAGAAGCAGAGCAGCGAGACGACAATTCCCTTGATGTGTATGATACAAGGCGACGTTCTCCTGGGGGCGGGAGGATTCGGGGCAGTGTACAAAGCACGCTTTGGTTCCACGATTCCTTGCACGTTGAAACTTGTGAGAGATAACATGTTTGATATGGACAAGTACGCCTGCGTCGATAAAATTGTAGCCTCAATGATCAATCATCCGCTATTGGTCCGATATCACGCTTGCTTCGCAATACACCAAGCGTTCGTGACCATAATGGAATATATTCGAGGCGTTGACCTCGAGAAAGTAGTCCACGCTGAAAAAGGCCTCGCCATGAGACTGTTGCGGCCTTTGTGCGCGCAACTGGGCATGGCAACTCAATACCTTCACTTCAAAGGCTTCATACATCGCGACATCAAGGTGAGTTGATTTCAATTCGCGGCGGATTCAATTCAGCAACTCCGCGGGTATGGATCGAGGAGGTTCGTGATTAGACTCCCGTCTGGATGTAGATCATGTTCATGATCCCAGCAAATGCGGGCGTAGAAAATTCTGCTCTCCCCACCCCCTCCCCGTGCAGCGGCCCCCTTACCCGATATGCGTCCTGTTCGATCTAGGGCTCAGATTCTCTTTGGGAATCGATACCCTAGATTCCTCGCGTATTCTGAGAGATGTTTGGAACATCTCGTTAGATCCTAGATCGTCGTCTCTTTCGCTGAGACCAATCAGTGCTGATTGCCTATTTACTGATTCATTGCGACTGAAAGCCATGGTCCCCTCCAGCCTTCGAATCTCATGATAACGCATAACTGTTCGCTGAAAATGATCGACTTCGACACGGTGAAGATCTGTATCGGAATGTTTTCGAGAAAACGCCTAAGGAGCTTCTTTCGACGGACGTTCACCGAGTTCAACGATCGGGAAAGCGCGGGAACTTTGAACTATTTCCCCCCGGAATTCTTCAAGGTGCTGGCATACGGACGCGCCGTCGACTGTTGAGTTCCCGAGTGTCCTGTGGCGCACATAGGAGAATAAAGTTGCAACACTCCCCATGCCGGTTGTGAATAAACGAGAATGATTGCAGGTGGGCAGTTGGAGCGACAATTTACGAAATGTGTTTTGGGAAAACTCCTTTTCGAGGCGCCGATGACGCGGAGCTGGAAGCGAATATCAGGGCCGTAAATTACAAGTTCCCCAGGAAGGGACCTTGTGAAAATAATTTGATCGAGCTGAAGGATCTCATAGCTCGGTTGCTGAAAAAGAGAGCTGCGGGTCTGTGGTGTTTCTGGATCCCGTTTCCTGTACTCTCGCGTGGGCAGCCGTTGAACGAAATAACGAGGAGGCAATTCGCTCCCTCCCGTTTTACAGTCGGACATATCCAATTGCAGCTAGACTCTGTTCGCGAGGCTATAGCGAGTTTCTAGCCCACCCCTTCTTCCGAGGCTTGGATCTGCACAGTTTAGAGAGAGGCGACGTCAGGATGGAATACGAGGGCGTTTCCAAACTCATGCAACAGAACGCAGACGGTCTATTTTCACCGAAAGTGTCTCAGACCTTACAGGCGAAACGGAGCGAGTACCTGGAGCCGGAAAAACAGTTTGTAAATGCCCATTACCGCGAGCCGAGGCTGCGAGCCCTGCATAGCCCCACATGATCACGAGGGCAATGGATGCTTGACTCCGAGTGCTCACTTCAACGTGTCCGGTGCCTTCCAGGACGCGAGAACGCACTGTCCACTGTTCACGTATGTATCGGCCCCGTTCCAGGCCGCCTGCGTGAAACTTCTGCGGGACGAAGCGGTGTACCCAAACGACACAGAAGCGCCCCCAGAACTGGGCTTGGCTGATTATACGAACAATCCAAAAAAGTGGACTCGGTACAAATTCGAGAGATTTGTCAGAAAGTAGTTGTAGGCCCGATTTTTTTATGCTCCTCCTCAAGTGTCTCTGGATGAATACATGCTGTTTTTTGGTTGACCCATCCGGCAGTCGTATCTCTCATCAGAAGCGTCTGAGTCGACCCCGATCCTCGGAGCGGAGTCGTCCGATATCGACAGACGGCAAATCATCCGTCGAGATCAAAGCTCTTGCTCCCAGCGGAATCGCGGGTACTCTGCCAAGCATGGCAATTATGAGAGCGCCATGAATCTTGAGACGGAGTTAAAGCGGATCCTCGTAATTCAGTGGGGATCTCGCAGCGCTCACGTCGTGCTTCAAAGGGAAGCGCCCTATTGCCCCGTTCTAGACTGTGGCTGACATGTCGCAGCGAGATATGTATGCCTTCTTACTGAAGACGATTTGTCGGAAGCTGTCGACATGCGTGCATCTGCTGTCCTCCCCTCGAATGTCTGAGAATCCGAGCGCGACGCGCGATTTTCCTCTGGCCGAGTAACGAGACCTCTGAAGACGAAATGCGCGACAGAAGTTCAAAGAGACTGGCGGCAGAAACAATCCCCCGGTTTTCGGGCAAAAACTGCTCCGTCTGCCAAACCTGAGTGCCATCGGAGCGACGGTATCATCGTAATTCCTCACGCTCCCGTCGGACTGAGCTCTGAGGAAATAAAGTTTGAGTCTTCTCCTAGTCCCACTCAGACAACTCGTCTGAGAAAAACGGTCTCACCAGTCAGAAATCCACCGTTCGAAGCTCTCTAAAAACTCCGAGATTCCTGAGAACACATCGGTCTGCTTGCAGCTGCCAAGAATTCCAGTCCTTTGGTATATCTCCCGATATATAGTTTCGTATTCAACGTTCATCTTTACCGGTAGCGCTTGAAAGCAGCTGGTCGTAATTGCGATGTTCGGAAAAAAACTGCTGACTCTGGGCCCGACTTCTTCGACGCTGCTCCGTAGGGAAGACTCGGCGAATTTCTCTAATCTGAGGAATAGAAGTATTTTTATACAAGGCTCCGCGCGGATATTCGCGAATTTTTCTCCATCGGTCCTACTAAGCCTACGAATCGTATCGAGAGAACACACTCCTTCTCCGGGGGCTCGTCCCAGGCTCAGACAGAAATTTTTCCTCGTTTCTGATTGAGCTGTCCTATGATTTTGCAACACTCGGCGACGGAACACTCGCAGAACAAGAGCTCTTGAGACACAAATCCTGCGTAGTCTCTCATCTCCAGTTCGCCAGCGCTGCAAACCGCATTACGTCTGTTCAAGGGATGGGGAACGTCCCTGCATTGGAAACATGGCCTATCCGAAGCATTGGATGGGGTCCTAACATGGAAATAGGTACTTTGCGAATGTCTTTGTCGCGAGAACAGCGTCTCCTTAACAACAGGAAGTTTCGGTCAATCAATGTCGGCTCATAAACTGTTTCCTGTTGAAAGTTACGACTACCTCCAGTAACGGACTGATTCACGCGCAATTTACCCTGATAGCGGAGTTGCGTGTCCTTGCCTTCAGACGCATCGCGTTTTCGGGCTAAGGAAGTTGGCACAAGAAGACGCGCGACTCTCCGGAGAGGGTTTTGCGTCGTTCCCACCGGATAGACTCAAGCCACAGCATGCAATCAGACGATGCATGTTGCGGCGGTCATGTAGACCAGGGGAGGGCGGGGAACGTGATCGCCAAGAATCGTTGCTCCCACATATTGAGCAACTTCCAATTTCGGCAGGAACTTGCATTCAAGTCTGGTTTTTGATTGATTTCGTTCAAGCTTTCCCCCCTTTATATCAGCGTGGAATGTACATACGTCGTCAATGATTGTGACCTCGCATGAGCGATTCCTCACTTTCAATCGTCTCCGGGCCGGATCGGATCTTGATTAGGAATCGATTCCTTCGGTTGCTTGTACCTCGGGCTTCCCGGGCTCGACAATGGACTGCCGGAGCAAATCGAAGACACACCTCCTTATTAATAGCTACATGGGAAGAGGGGAGAGCGTCCGTTCGATGGGGCGGCTCAAGGGAAGGAGAAGCCAATATCACGCTGAATGGGGGAAAAATGTCGTAAACACAAACTTGTTCAAGCAACGAATAACCTTTACAACCCGTGAAGGTTGAGGGATCTCATTTTATTCTATTGGCTCGTGAAAATTTTTCTCCGTGCAGTAATGGCTCCTCATCCATGTCTTAGTGCTATTTTCATCGAAGTCGCAGCGGATTTTCCCTGGGCTCAACTCCCGCGATTGCCCCTGCCTTGCTCCCAAACGGCAGCCGCAACGAGCTCCCGGACGCATGAATCGAGAAACGAATGTTTCCACAAACCCGAGTCCACGGAGCTCTGATTCCGTCTGGGGTTTGCTCGAACCCTTGAGTCGTCTAGGGAGGAAAATCGTTCTTGAGTATCGCTCAAGCATTCGCGATTCTCTTCTGGTTTATTCCTTCAGCTTGCGACGACCGACGTTGTGAGCGTCTCCTCAACGCAGCGACCTTGATGTAATGAAGACTCATTGCTCCACCGCCACGTTGAGTGGAGATTCTACGCGGAAACAAGGAAATGCTCTTAGCAGGAATTATGAGAGAACATCTGCACAGAGACTTCTCTCACAGAAATGATCCGCTGATGGAAACGGACTTCCATGCTCATCTGAAGTGCAGCCCAGCTCATCTTGCTCGCGTCATCATCATCACGGCCGTCGTCTCGACCTATGGAGTGGAGATCGATCCTACTTGACACGGGATGAAGATCGAGCCCCGGAAATGAAACCTCGATGAGAATTCCGACTTGGCCGGGACTGAATACAGGCATACCGTCCCTCGCATACCTTCGCCTGAGGCCGGAGCTCACACTCAATTCAGTTCAGACGGGATCCTTCCGATCTTTCCCACGAGAATCCTCTCATCTTCCATAGAATTTCGCCCCGACAGTAATGTCGATTCTGTCCGCAACACGCTAGAGAGCGTTGAAGCTCTCGAGCCACTTCAGCTGGGCGTCAATCGAGGGTAGGACAATCTGTATCGACAAGTCGAGAGGGGATCCCTAGACGGGGGCTTCCCCCCAATGATGAGTCTATCTCATCAATTATTTTCTTGTCTCATCGGGTAATGATCCGATCGGCGTCCACTGACTCCTCTCGACTGGAGATTGTCGGCAATGAATGAGGGCTATTGATAAGTAATAATTGCATGAGCGTCGGCGTCGAGTCGTTTCATTTGCCTAAATATGTGTATATACTCACACCAAGCTTGCACATCATTGATCTGGTGTGAGATATTGAGCTCCGCGAATGAAGGACGAAAATCCCCAGCAAGCTCCGATATTATCGGCTCTGACTCAGATCGCCACCGATGTACCCTTTGCCAGGGCGATGGATCCTCATAACATTTTCCGATTCGGATATACCACCGCTGTCAATTGACCAAGTGATCGATGCTCTCACGATTCCCCACGTTCTCGATCGGCGGCGGCAGCGAGTTCACTCTTTGCGTGAATAGCTCCCGGAATGTGTTCGTTGTCGATCAATATGTGAGTCGAACTTCGTCGGCATCAGCCAGCAGGTGGGCGCTCCCTCCCAATCGCTCGCTGTGGTCACTTGGAAGATGCTTCGCCTCACCGTTCGGAGTCACAGTCCATGTTGCTTGCTCGAACGGTCGGCACGAGAACGAGCTTCTGGGATGCGACTCATCGCCGAGCGTAATCGTTCCCGCTTTTCCTGAAGCCCTATACGCCAAGAGTACGGTTCCCCGATATTCCCCATCGAGTTCCGCACGCCTTTGCGTGTACCGAGCGGAAGAGGCCAATTTTTACGTCGGTATCCGATGCATCCCGCGAGATCCGATTTCCTTGTAAACACCAGCGTTCGGAATCAAATGGTCTCCTTGTTCGTCTCCGCGTATCCTGTCCTCAACAGCGCGCGATTTTAGAACATGTTTGAGAGTCTTGTCAGCTGGCATGTTGTGGTGTTCTATTCGTGGGTGTTCTTCGCAGCGAGTAAAATCGAATCTCACTGTCACATCGAAGCTCCACCACCGATGCTTGTGATGATTTAGGCGAATGCGGTCGCGTGCTGACTATTTAAAGGAGCGTCGCTCTCCTTCGCTTGGCAAATGGCTCGGACAAAAGCGTCCAGGAGCTCAGGAGCTACCAAGTTCTCGATCACTCGCATCCTCCGTGGGGCAGGGCCAATGGAGAAGAAGGAGATATCCCGACTCCTGCGCGAGCTCTCCGGGTGAAGAAAGCGAAACATCTGAGAGACATGCGGTCATACTCGATCGGAACGACATGGATTCAAGGGGCGTCTGAGCTATGGCGTTCCACTCGCGCGATCCCGCTCCACTCACGCCTCCCATCTCGATCTTCCAGTTCCCGAGAAGCACTATACTCTTATACTTAGGAAGTATCATAGTTCTATCATACCCCATAGCGAGCCTCAAGCCTCATCCGTTGTGGGACATTTTCAATCAGAGGAGTGATCGAGATTCCTTCATGGGAGGCACGGTTGGGTCCAAGGCGTGTAATACCGAGTAGACAGTTAGTCTCACCGTTGGTCATTCCGACTCGTTTGTAGTTGTGGAGAGTTTATGTAGAGAGTCAAGATCTTCATGTGCGAGCGATCACCAAACCCCAAGCCTGACGAGCGACGGTTCCTTCCATTGATTTCCAATCAAGGAACCCGATGAGGTCGTAAATCAATGTGAAAAATCGGACTTGTGGTAGACTGGTAATCGTATCACCTGGAGCCAACGGTCCACTTCCGTGGAGCCCCACGCCCGATTTGGAAATGCCGTTATGAAGTACAAAAAAATCCGATTTCGACCTGGGCTAAGCTAGCAATGATTCACTTTGAATTTTGGAGAGGAACCGATTCATTGATATCGCCGCTCAGCCTTGGTCGAAACTCAGTGATTCCGTCGGATCGTTTCTACGTCCACCGACTGGTCTCATTCTCGTTTGTAGCGGGAGGGCATCGTGACAGGGTCTCACTCTCACTCGTTTGCTGTTTCGAGAGGTCATCCCGCGGA